TTTTTTCTTATTATTATTTGCTATATACAAAATTAACTTTATATAAACACGTAAAATATATCTAATGAAAATATTGAAAGCATATAAAATGATATATACCGTGTGTAAAAATACCTAAATTGTCCTATATTATTATAAAAAATGTGTAAAATCGCCTAAAATTTCTAAACTAATTTTAAAAACATATCTAAAATTTATACATTTACAAATCAAAAGTCTTTCAAAGATACACCTGGTGCTAAATAATTAAATTTGTTGGAATATTAGCTCGTATTATTTAGTGTTAGTTTAAAATTTTGAATATTATCTCGTATTATTTAAATTTAAATAGTTTAACCTTTCAACTTTAGAGTATCTTAAATTTTTCTATCGGCAAAATAATAATTTCTAAGCATTAATTGACATGAAATTTTTTTTATAATGGTTCATCTCTGTTTTTAAAGATTTTTTTTTTTTTTTTTCAGTACAAAGAAAGAGGCTAGGCGCCTAGTGTGCTACGGAGAAGACATCGCGGGTGTAGACCACGCCAATTAAATCATGCTGAAGCCATTGCCGAACACCGCCCGGCGGTTCATTGAAATACCGGTACCCCAATGGACCTTTCGCGGCAAAAGAGGCTAAGAAGTCAGCCGCATAGTTCGCCTCACGGAACACGTGTTTAATCTTCACTTCCCACTGTCGGCTCAGGATTAAGGTAATCATAACGGGACCAAGACAAAATTAACATAACAAATGTTTTTGATTCACGAGTTTTTACATATTATTAGATCAATAGCAGATAAAACATACAACTTCTAAAAAAAAAATGCACGAAAAAAAAAATGGGCAGAAAAATGTTGATGGCTCTGTCAAGTTCATAGGTGGCGGAGGAAATTGGTGAAGAAGAGAACAATGGCCAAATGTCTCATCTCTTTTTTTTTTTTTTCTGAAACGATAGGGGAACTATTACAAATCAAAACGCACAACGTGCGAATAAAAGTACAAAGCTCCCAACGGGAGAATAAAATGGGAGGACAAGTCTAACGACTGCCTAGAATCCCGACACTAGCAACGCTAGAAACCAAAAAACACACGACAAACACTAAGAACTAAGAACTAAAAAAAAAATAAAAGGCTCCCAATAGGAGAATACCTGAGTGTCGGATCCCAACAGGATAATAAGTTTGACACTCAGGCGAAACAGAGGCCAATTGGCCCAGACCAAAAATACAACGACCACACAACCAAAAACAAACAAAAACATGAAGCTATCAAACAAAAACATACAAAGCAACACAACTAAACGAGCCCTTCCAAAGTAGTGCCATCAAACCGAACCAGCGAAAAGCAAGGCGACTAAGAGACCCGCAGCTAAAAGAACCGACCCCGAAACTGCCCAAACCACTCGGTTGCCTAACGGTGTCGAAACCCTAACCCCGGAGCTAATCCAAGTCACCCCGCTCCACGACCACAACACTGGATTGCCCCGAACGGACAAAAGAATGTCACAGCCCTGGCCCAACCCCAAAACGCTTGGAAGCTGCCCAAAGCCACCTCTCCGCCGCACCACCACTCCGAACAAAACCACTGACAGAGTGAGGGGCGCGACGTCCCCTTCGACACAAAGGCCGAGAACCGGGGAAGACAACCAAAGAGAGCAACAACGTCCCAATCGCCCAAGCAAACAAGTCGCCGGCCAAACGAGACGCCTCCCATCCCCGGAACAGCACCACGGCTCCACCACCACCCAATCGAGGAGCCACTACCCTGAATCGGCGCCGGAAAGGACGGAGACCAATCGTAGCAGAAGAGGCCCGACTCCATCGGACCGGAAAGCGGAACAGAAAATAAGGGGCAGAAAACCAAGCGGTCAAGGGCCGGCTACCGCCGGCGAAGTTCGAAGGCTACTATGGAAGGCTGACGGCGATTAATCGGAAGAAGCGAGAAGATGGAATTTGGGCAAGGGTTTTCTACTTTGGGGACGGGTACTTTTCGCGTGTTTCAAGGCTACTATGGAAGGCTGACGGTCTCATCTCACTAGTGTAGTTTATTTTGTAGGGATGGCATGTTGTAAATTGTGGAGAGAAGGATGTTAGGACGTTCAGTAATTCAATATAAAAGGGACATTTAAGACTTTTTCTTCTAAATTTACTGTAGACATTGATTTTATCTTACCTTTCAGTGGCAGATTAAGGGGGCGATTGTTTATAGTTTGTACAGTAAAAAAATCAATCAAAACTTGAATTTAACTAAATTTTACCTCAACCTCACTATCTCTTTTAATATCAATAATTAAAAAATATCAACCAATCAGTTTACACATCACATCAACTTTAATTCACTATTCATTCACTCACATAATTTTAACTAACCATCACTTCTAATTATTTTTCTCTTACTTTACATCAAATCAACTTTAATTATTATATTTAAATATTATTTTATTATATCTACTAACAACTAACCATACCACCTCTTTTCAAAATTAACTATAGTTAAAAAACAAATCAAATAAAAACTAGTTGAATCCATAAACAATCACCCCCTAAATAATCGTGGAAGAGCACGATAACTCAAAAAAATTGCGGGCCGGATGTAATCCTGCGGACCTCAGTCGGGGAAAACAAACACGCTTTCCGGAGTAGATAAATGCCACACTCTTATGTAATCACCCCTAACAAACGTGCAGTAAGTTTACTTTAGCTTGTTTTTTTTTTTTTTTTTGTCATGAGCTAAATGACATCATGAGCTAATACAAACTTGTTTCATTTTAAAAACAATTGTTAATAACTGAAATGATAAAATATTGGATATTAAAAAAATATATATTGGATATTAATCGGTGGAATTATTCAGAAAGCAATCAAATTAGGTGCACCGCATTTACTACCTGAGACTGAGAGCATCATATTTGGAAAAATTTAGGTCAACAATCTCCTTAGTTATTTATTTGGATTACCACACATAATAGATATTTATTGTTGGATTAACACACTACCAAGGTTTTAAATAGCCGGCTAAAACGTTTATGGCACTATAGCTATAACAGAGATTTAGCGGCTAAATTGCACATGAATACAACTAGCGGCACGCTGCAAAAAAAAATTATTTCTCAAATAGCGGCAACTTTAGCGAGCTATTTATATCCTTGCACACTACAAAAAAAACTCTTACATTCCAACAAAAATTTTCCGTTGGAATTCTTTATATTTTCCGTTGGAATAGCTATTCCAACGGATATTCCTACGTATAAAAGTTCGTGGAAAAAACGGCCGTTGGAATAGCTAAAATCCAACGGAAAATCCTATAGAAATAAATTCCTATAACTATTCCAACGGAAAAAATCCGTTGGAATTCCTCAACCATCCAACACTTATTCCAACATAAAATTAAGTTTGTTGGAATATTCATCGGAATTTCCAACGGAAATTTTTGTCGTTGGAATTTTTCGTTGGAATTGAAATGTTTTCTTGTAGTAACACTCACTTGTTTGTGTTGAACCCTTCCAATTGAAAACTAGAATCAATAAATTTTTGCCTCAAATTTTCTACTATCATCAAGAAAATCACAATGAGATTCAAATCCCAAAACTATTCATTAATTCACATTCATTGCAAATATGGTATTCAATCAAACAGTTAAAATTAGTGTCTTCATGACAATTATGGTGTGTTCAATCAAATAATTTAAATTAAAGAAAAAAAAAATTAAACTCCCAAAAGTATGTCATTTTTTAGAGTTCGGCATATAACTTTTTTTTTTTTTTTTTTTTTTTACAGTTTGTCTCCTAATGTAATCGAAACTGACAATTTGCCTTCTCGATTAAAAATTGATTTAGGGCTTTTAAAGCCCATGGCGAGGCAAACAAAATGATGTATGGTTTGTCGATTTCTGAAAATTGATATCTCTATAATCGATCCACGAAGATGGTAGGAGCACGCGTGTATAGAAAAAATTTCAATTCAAGTTTTTTGATAATCAAGATATCCGATTTTCGATTTGGAGGTATCATCTGAAAGTTTGTAGGACTAATTTTCTAACGCGTAAATCTTATGAAAATCCAACGGTCCAATTTTGATCAGCATTTAGAAAATTATTGATCAATAATTAGCTTTTTTTAGGCTACTAACCAAAATTCGACCGTTGGATTTTCATAAGATTTACTTTGATAGAAAACTCGTCTTCCAAGCTTTCAAATGACACATCTCAATCGAAAATCGGATATTTTGATTATCAAAAAACTTGAATTGAATTTTTTTCTATACACATGTGCTCCTACTATCTTCGTGGATCCATTATATATATATCATTTTCAGAATTCGACAAATCATATCTCATTTTGTTCGTCTTGTCATGGGTTTTAAAAGACCTAAATCAATTTTAAAGATTAATTTAGAATTTATCATAAACTCTTTTGTGCCATATTAGGGTAACTAACCCATTATGCAAATTGACAGTCTTGATTACATTGGGAGACAAATTATCAAAAAAAAAATGACAAATTCTATAAAATTACATATTTTGGGAGGTTAAAAAAAATTCCATTAATATTATATATTATTGACTTGGACAATAAAGGAAATGTCTTAAAAAAATGCATATACCATTGCTCATTTTACATACTATCAACAGGTTGATTTGGGTTGAAAATACTCATTTGACTACATGGAGAAAATATGTATTTTTCCATTTATAACAAAAGCATCAAATTTACAATTCAATCCATGGATATGGTTATACATAATGTACTCACACGGTACACATCATATGTATCAAACAAATAAAATACGCATCAAACAAAAGGGCAAAATAGGTAAACAATAAAATAAAATGAAAGTAACCGTGACAACTGAAAAGGAAGGACCCACTGTCTTGATATTTTCCCTTTTTAACTTCAGACCTACCGACGAAAAGGTCATCCAACCGGCCACGTCACTCAAACACCACGTCGGACCACCACGCGCCGCGGCCAAATCAGCTTTCGCGAGCCACGCGCCGATCAAAACCGAAAAGTCTGACTGCTACATCGCCTGAATAATCTCCTCGGCGGCCCAGTTACCGGATCTCCGGCCCGACGAGAACCGGACCATGCCTCCCAAAGCCGGCGGCTCGCCTCCGGCTTTCAAAACCACGCTCCTCCGGGGCGGCTCCGCCGCCTCCTCCGGTCCCTCCGCCTCCTTCTCGCTCCCCGAACGATACGGCTCTCCGCGCCCCTTCTTAAACCTGAAAAAACCCATCACCTTCTCGCAGAAACCAGATCTCCGCTCCTCTCCGCCGCCGGTTCCAGATTTCTCCGCCCGCGGCGAATCCGAAAGGTCGCGGCGGCGGCCGCGCTTCGACCGGACTCTTCCCATACATGAGACCTTCGGGGAAGCCGGTTCAGCCTCCGGAACCGCCGATTTCTTTCCCTTGGACGGGAAAAGCCTCGCCTTCGCCGCCTTGCAGGCCCTCCGATTCGAATCGGTGAAGGCCGTCCTATGAGCTCGAGGCAGTCCGATGAGGGACGCCTTGGATTTGGCCGACGACCGCTGGGAGCTAGAGCCGTTCAGATTCGAATTTCCTCTCGTCGATTCCTTACGCTCGTACACGGCGTTGCGGTCGAACCAGTCGTGCTCCGCGTCCTTCGACAGCCAGAACGATTCCGTCGGGAAATCAACGACGGAGCCGATGTTTTTCGTGGCACCGTCGTCTTCCGACGCCTGCCGGAAGAATTTTTCTCGGGTTTCGGGGTCGGCTTGAGGCATTTGAACAGATATATATAGAGAGAGAGAGAAAGAGAAGTTGCAGAGGAAAAGGGAGAAAGAGAAGGTGAAGTCGGGGGAACAGAGAAACACTATTTATATGGACCAATTGCATATATAAGTTCTAATATGCGTGTTCGTAAAATAAAAAATAAAAATAAAATAATAATAATAATAATAATTAGTTGAATTGTGATAGCGGATGATTTATTGAATCTATATCTATATATATTATATATATATAATTGTTAGCTATGGATTTAAAAAAAAAAAAAAAACATCATAAATAAAACCTTTAAATTTTTTTCTTTATTTTCGGTTACCAAATTTATCATCAATATTATTTTACTTCTATAATCATGTGGAGTGTAATCATGTATATTATATTCTATAATAGTTAATGCTAATATCAACTAATTATAATTCACAATAAATATATATTATATAATAACAATTGTTTTAAGTTATTTATTTTAACATCAACATTATCTTTTTCTTTTATATCTCATGAAAAAAATTATTTGAAAACAATTAGTGAATAGTTTTAATAGCATAGTCAAACAACTTTAAAATTTTATAAACAATAGTTTTGGTAATAATAATAATAATAATAATAATCATAATAATAATAATAATAATTAAACTGTTATTATCTAATAATAATAAATAATTTTTTATAATAATAAACAATTGTTATTTTTTTTTCCTTATGATCAAATTTTGAAAATAAAATATGTTCATTATCTCGAATTTTAATATTAAATTTTCATATATTATTTATAACATTTTATGTACATCTGTGCATGTGCAGAGGATGATTACTAGTTTATATAAAGAGATAACATATTTACCAAAAATATTAACAAAAAAATCCGCCAAAAATTGCATGTCACTTTGAGAAATTATTTGAATTTTATTCACTAAAATCATGCAGCATTAAATGCTCTCTTAAATGGTGGGTTTATTCAATTAATGTTTATTCATTTCATTTTATCTTACCTTCTATATAATCATATTACTAATAAACATTAAATTACTTATATAATTTTAAATTAATTACATCAATAAATAATATTAATATAAATATTTATTTTTAGATAAAAAATAAAATTACTTCTATAAGTGTTATAAATAATAATGACATTATACGATAATAAATTTTGACTAAAATAATATTTAAGTATTATGATGACCAAAATGTAATATTATTATTTTTTATGTATTAAATTTAACTTTTTGGATAAAAGATATTTTAAGTTGCTACTCATCAAACAGAAACGTACAAATCATAAATTCTATCTTCAAACCTCTAATTTAAGAAAAATACTACTAACAACTAATTTACCCTCAAACCTATAATGTGGCCATAAAACTTTAATTACCAAACAATACCGTAGCAAATATCTTAAAATTGCACAAATAATTGTTGTTATAATAATAACAATTTAATATTTTTGTCGACTAATTAATTTTGATTTGCATCTCTAGAATTTTGTAAAAATTTAATTACATTATTTATTATATTTTATGTAATTTTATGATGATTGGTATATAAGTAAAATGGTGTATAGTTATATCGCTCATTTTTATTAACGGCTAAATTTATAAAATATGATTGCATATTAATATATATATATATATATATATGCACACATATGTATAACTTATGATATTTTATAAGTATTTGTGCATGTACATAGACTTGAGTATCCTTGCTTGTACATATGATATTTTATAAGTATTTTATAAGTATTTTTGCATGTACATATGATATTTTATAAGTATTTGTGCATGTACATATACAATTGTCTATATATTATTTATTTGGTAAGTAGACCACAAAGTAGTCGCATTTCTCAACAAATATATATATTTTTAAATTGACATATCTAATATAAAAATATGATAATAAAAATTTATAGCAATGAATTTATATATATATTAAGAATTAATATTTACTAAAAATAGTAAGCAAAAAGTTCTGAGATTATTAATTACATTCTATTTTTGGATTTTTTAAAATTTTTTTAATAAAAAATCAAGCATTTAATGCTACCATAAATCATGTAATTTGTTATATTTAAATTTTAATTTTTTTTTTTTTTTAAAAAAACTTGCCTAATTGAATTTTGCAATTTTTTGGAAAAAAAAAATTAAAACCTAAAGATTGAAAGGAAACAATCTATCCTTATCTTATAACAAAGATGTAATAATATATAATATGACAAGGGCAACACGTTAGATTAGGGAAATAATTTGAGTAATTGTCGGCAGATAAGCAATGTTAACGTGATTAAAACCAATTGCCTAATTAGTTTATATATGAATAATGAAAATAAATGATAATTCATTTTTTATTAATTAGATTTAATAAGAAAAATTTTTAATTTTTGTCAATAAGATTGTGAATGGATATCAAATAATATTACTACACACCTAACAATTAAAATAATATTATTGCACATTTGATATTTTAATTTTCAACCATTTTAAATTAACATAATTTTATATCATATTAATTTTAATCATTATATTTTTATTTTTTAGACTTTTGATAATTTGAATGTGAAGATTGCAAGCTATGGCATATTTAAATAATTATCATGCTTTTTTTTTTTTGTTGATGTGTCACATATGATGCGGAATGTGTAGAAGTAAGTTTTAATACGGTTGTAAGTTTTTCAATTCTATTTTATTATTGTTGATTGGTTTAATGTTCTTAATTTCAGTTAACATGAGATTTAATCTAAGCATGAGGTAATCCATTCACCTAGGGTTAGGGATTTTAATTCTTGTTTTGAATTATGAGGAATGTGTTTTGTTCAATCTATGCTAGTTGTGTGAATTATAGGGTTAGTTGATTGATCACCATTCTATCCTAGTTAATCGACGTTTAGAACCGAGAGGGGAGATGTCGGTCGATTTAGGCTCGTATAGAGTAGACTTGTTCGGAAACGTATTGTCTATGTGTTGCTTGTTTGAATGAGTTTATCGTTTATGTATGTGCTCTTGTTACGAAGAGTTATTGAGCATAGCCCTCTAGACGTGTAGGCTTGTTAAACCTCGTAACCGAACAAATAATCGTTCAACATAGTTTGAAACTTGATGAGATTTCCCGACTCCTAGAACTTCTTCCTTTTCTCTAGAGATTTAATTGTTATTTCTTTAAATTGCTTGTCTAGTTCTAGCTTGTTTTAGTTAATCCACCAAATTAATCATGATTAGAGTGTTTAGGACTTATTTTCTTTTCGTGTGTGATTAATACCAACGCTAGATTCTGAACCGTCTTCCTCGAGAGATCGACCCGGGGAACGAATCTTTTGATTCGGTACTCGGGAAAAATAAAAATAATTTACTACAACAAAAATCATACAATTTTACATGTTTTATGCATCAAAATTAAGTTAGGTCATTCAATATGTTAAAAACCTTTAATAATATTTCCATATATTATGCTAAACATTTTAATATATCAAAATATGCATATCTACTATCTCAATATATATATGCATCAATATTCTATTTTCGTAGATACGGTTTACACAGCGAGGTAAATTTTCTATATTTTTGTATTCCCAACTCTCTCAAATTCATCACAACATCATACTTTCGATAAAAGCATTCAGTTTTAAATGCACCACCACCAACAACAAGAATTTAAAGTTTGTCATATGAATGCAATGTAAAAGTTAAAGGTTGTCATATGAATGTTTTGAATAACAATTTTTTTTCGATAGAAGTTTGTACTGCAACACACAGTTTCTGATATTTTTTCGGAATAATTTTGAATGAATTAGAAAACATTGAACATTTAAGGTTTTTTAAGGTTAATATATTTTCCACGTATGGTTTCTTACGCCATGGCAATAAACAAGAGTTAATGTCAATATTTATCGCACTTTGGCCTGTTCTTAGAGAAACTGGAGTTCAGTCACGATCACTTGTATGAAGATATTTCACGTGTCATGAATATGAATCATAAAATTTTTGTTTATCCCATTTTTGTTGTGTTTGTCCCATTTTTGTGTCTTTATTTTGGGTTCATTTTCTCTTTATTTTCCCCACTTATAGGATTTTCGTAGTTTATTTGGTCCAATTCTGTGTTCTTTGTGTTTTCTGTCTTTTGTGTCGTTTTTGTGTATTTTTGTTGTCTTTTTCTTCGTGTTTCCCTTGTGTTCGTGTTTTCAGGAGGTAGGTTGTGTTGATCGAGGACGGGACTACTTGAGTTGAGACCGGGATATCGAGAATGCTCATTGAGGTGACCAGATTATTGAAAGAAGGACCGGAAAAACTGATCGAAGAGCTGCCAAAACAACTCGCGACTCGCGAGACAGTGTCGCGACTCGCGAGTCAGTCGCGACTCGCAAGATGGTCGCGACTCGCGAGTCCAACAGAGCCGAGAAGATGGTTTTCGCGATATGAGTCGCGACTCGCGAGTCATTGTCGCGACTCGCGAGATGATGTCGCGACTCGTGAGTTATGTCGCGACCTTCTCCAGATAATAAAGATTTTTGATGACGCGCGACTCGCGAGAAGTCGCGACTCGCGACCTGAAGAAAAGTGAAAGTCGCGACTCGCGACTTATGTCGCGACTCGCGACTTATGCGGCGCGAATTTCGAGGTCGGGATTTTTATATCAGATTTTCGACCTAGATAGGATTATTCACTTTTCAGACCTTGTTTTTACATTATTCTCTCTAGAAAACTCACTC